ACGCTGTGGGCAGTAGGCAACAGCTGTGAGCGCCAAAAGAAGAGTGGGGACTGGAGCTAAGCCCATAGGATTAAGTCCACCCTGGAACCTACTGTCTCTCTGGACTCCCAGTTATATGAGCCAGACATTTACCTACGTCACTGTGATTGGGGCACCTGTCCCTTGTAGCTGACGTCATCCTGATGGACACCTCTCTCCATAAAAGGGCCCCTCCCTGTGCACCTTCAACAACTTTGTCAGAATCTGTCTCCGGAAACTGTTCACCTTTTTATCCATGTTGCTTATCCTCTTCCGAAGAATATTTTTAGTCTTGCTCAGTCCCTTGGATGGGCTCACCCTGCCCTTTACCGTGCTCCTTCCTGCCTCACTCAGCCATGACCGGCAGGGAGCCCAGCGGATGGTCAGAGTCCTGGGCATCCTGCTCGCCTGGGAGAGCCTCCGGGTTTCCCTCGGCTCCCACTCGTCCCAGGCTTCCCAGGACTGTGCTCAACGCAGCCGCTCTGCCACGCCAGTGCCTCCAGGTGTCCATGGACCAGAAAAGAGCACATGCAGAGGGTTAGGAATTGGGTGATGCTCTCACCTTACGCATCTCCAGCCTCATGCAGAGGCCCTGCATTACTGTTTCTCAAACGATGCCCTAAGACTGCCAGTATCAGAATCACCAATACTGTGATCAGGTGCTTGTTCAAAGTGCAGATTCAGGATGTGGCTGTGTAAGCCTTATATTTCACAGCTGAATCCATGGTTATCTCCCACTCCGGATTCCTTCAAAGACAGCTCCGAGGCCAAGACAAGGAGGAAGGGGGCTGGGATGGAAGCAAAACTGTGAAGGCGAAGGGAAAAGTGGGAAGCGGGACAGAGATGCTGGACTGTTTCGGGGGCACAGGAGTGGAACGCCACCCAAAGGCAGACTCAGATTCTGTCAGCCATCGGTTTTTCAGTTTCTATAACACTCACCTGTGCGCATCCACCACCAACCTTTGTCTTCTGGTGTAACTGACTCGGGCATATCCAGCATCACAATGGAACCTCCCACAAATCACAGGGTACCCATCACAAATGATCGGTCCAAACCACAAAGGTCAGAGCAAGGTTTTATAAGACGGCAATTGAGCAGTCACAACACATTTGTGTGCTAGTTAGCAATTTCACAAACCTGAGGTAGATTTCAACCTCACCTCCCAAGTCCAAGCCACTTCCGATTACTCACTCCACACTTTGCAGCTTTGTAAGTTCTTTCCCAGTGAGAAAGCGAAAGCGAACCACCCCTTCCCTCTCCTTATGAAATACGTTTTACAAGGTGACTGACATGACAGAGTGCAGACTGTACGGAAAATAATGGCTGCAATTTCTGATGGCTAACTTACCCTGAGTTGGGTTTAGAAAGAGTTTAGTTATTGCTGGGGATGGGGGAGGATGTTTTGCTACCATTTTCTTTCTTTTTTTGGAAAATAAGTGATGGATAGGAATTCAAAGTTTATTCTGGAATGGAGATCTATTCGAAATGGACCTTGGCAGGCCATTCCCTCAGACTCTCCTCATATTCACAGCAAATCCCCTTTTGCCTTTTATTACAACAAACCCACACATTCCCCTCCTTTCCTGCCCCCACTACCCCAATTCTCATTGCACATTTTGATGATAAGAACTTCATTTCTTGCTCACTAGAGGCAAATTAAATTAGTCGGAGGCCTGGGGTGTGTGGCCATCCCAGGTCCTTATAATGGACTAAAAAAAAAAATCCATGGTATAGACTCTAATGGATGGATCTATTTTTTTTATCCTAGTTTTTAAATTACATTGGAGACACCACATAGAGTCAACTTATAATGCATGGGATGTTCATATTAGAACTCAAAAGTCAGGTGTTGGAATCTGGGCCTTCTGGTCACCAACATTTCGCCCATCTCTTATTCTCTAGTTCAGCCGTGGGCAAACTACGGTCCGTGGGCCAGATCCGGCCAGTTTGAAATGAATAAAACAATTGAAAAAAAAGACCGTACCCTTTTATGTAATGATGTTTACTTTGAATTTATGTTAGTTCACACAAACACTCCATCCATGCTTTTGTTCGGGCCCTCCGGTCCAGTTTAAGAACCCATTGTGGCCCTCGAGTCAAAAAGTTTGCCCCCCCTGCTCTAGTTGAATGGTTCCCAAAGTGGCTGTGTATCAGGATTAATTAAGAGTTTCTTAAAAATACAGATTTTCTGTCGCAACTCAAATGTAACTAATCTAACTCTCTGGAGTTCCATTTTCTTTCTCTTTCTTTTTTTAAAATATGTTTTTATTGATTTCAGAGAGGAAGGGAGAGGGAGAGAGAGATTGAAACATCAACGATGAGAGAAAAACCATCGATTGGCTGCCTCCTGCACATCCCTCACTGGGGATCGAACCCACAACCCAGGCATGTGCCCTGACCAGGAATTGAACTGTGACCTCCAAGTTCATAGGTCAATGCTCCACCACTGAGCCATGCCAGCCGGGCTCTTTTCACTTGATCTTAGCCAAAAGGCCGAGAAGCGATAAGGGCTCTTTTCTTTTTCTTTATTTCCTTCTCCTTCTCCTTCTTCTCTCGCTCTCTTTTTTACAAGTTCCCTGTGTGTTTCTCACACAGCCACCAGGGACCCATTTACGGAAGACATTTGGGAACCATTTTTTGGGTCCAGGAGTTCTTGAGCTTGTGTGTGCATCAGAAGCACCTGGAGGCCTTACTAACATACAGACTGAACCCCCAGAGTTTCTGAGTCAGTGTCTGAAATGGAGAATTTGAATTTCTAATGAGTTTCTAGGTAATCTGATCCTGCTGGGCCGGGAGAGCCTGGGCTTTTACCCAGTTACCGGTGCACATACTAGTATTCATTAGCATTTCTGTTATGTGGCTAAGGAGAAGAGCTGAACATCACACTCACCTGAGAGCTTTATTTATTTATTTTTTTAACCCCAATTATTGGGGTTAAACTTCCACTGCATCCCAGATCTACTGAATCAACACCACTAGGAAGCCCTAGGAATTTTGTTATGAGTTATGCAGAAGATTCTGATTTATTGCAAAGACTTGAAACATTGCCTTATATAAAAAAGTGTTTGTTGTTTGTCTAAAATTCAGGTTCAATGGCTCATTCCATGTCTTTATTTGGATATCTGGCCCTGTACTTACTAGGCTATCTTTGCCAGGAGTGAGTTTTCTCTGTGTATTCCCTCTTTTGCTCAACATAGCTCTAGTTTAAATGCTTATGGAAGGGGTGGTGAGTAGTGAAATCCATGCAAACACAATGTGTGGGGGTGAAGAAGAGAAAATTAAGATGTTTCCTCAGGAAAGAAAACACACACACAAAGGAGAAAATTCATTAATCTAGACAGCAGAAACACAGTCAGAAAGAAAATGTCTGCTAATGGTTTTTCACCAGACAATTCGTCAATTACACAGTCAAAAGAAACCCCGAGGAATAAGAAGACAGCAAAGATGCTATTAAACTGTTCCAGGTGAAGCCATATATAATTAATTTCAAACAAGCACAGCTACAAAAACTCAAATACTTCAAGGTGCTGAGTGAGAGGTGGGATAAATCTGTATCAGGCTTCAAAACGACGCTTCCCGGTGAGTCTACTATTCAACCACAAGCAGGGAGATAATGATGTCTGCCTCCTCCCTGTTTTATTGGAGGCTGAAGAGCCTTAAGTTGAGACCCTCCCATTGCATCAAAGAGAAGAAAAAACAAGCACACGGCCCAGCCCCTGACACATCAGCACATTACTACGAAGAGACTGAATCACATGAGTGGGACAAACAAAACAGAGAAGAAAAATGCACTGATGCAGAAGACAGAGAAAATAAGCAAAGTGATCTGGCAAGCCCTTCCCAGGCTGAGTAACCACTGTGAGCATCACAGGCCCTGCAAAGCAAGCAGCTTTCTCCCAATGCAGTTTTACCATTTCACAGGTTAGAGGTCGGCACTTTTCCTGTAAAGGACAAGGCAGCACATCTTTTAAACTTAGTCGGCCATACACACTCTGCTGCATCTATCTACTCATCCTTCCTGTTGTAGCATGTAAGCAGTCCTAGACAATATGTAAGTGAAAAGACATGGCTGTGTTCCAATAAAACTTTATTCACAAAAATAGGTAGTTGATATGGACTAAATGTTTGTGCCCTCCACCCCAATTCATATGTTGAATACCTAATGTGATGGTATTTGGATGTGGGACCTTTGATAATTAGGTCATGAATGTAGAGCCCTCATGAATGGATTAGTGCCCTCATAAGGGAATGCAGGGAATGGAGCCCTCTCCCTGCTTTCTGCCCTGAGATCATAAAAATAGATGGTGTTCTGCAAACCATGATGAGGGCCCTCATCAGACACAATCTGCTGGCACCTTGATCTTGGACTTTCTAGCACCCAGAACTGTAAGAATTAAATGTTTTTGTTTCAGTCATTTAATTAAAAGTATATTTGTTACAGCCGTCTAGCAGACTAAGAACAGTGAGGCATACTTGGCCCATGGGCCATAATTTACCAACCCTCATCATAGGTGAGTGTGCATGGCAAGGATAGTATCACTAATGGATACTATGGAGCACTGGGTGTCCTAATGGTGGGTGTTCAATAAAACACAAAGACTCCATTAACTCATCACTATACATACAAGGGCAGAGTGTTTAATGATCACCCCAAAGTGTAAAGGCAGGAAATCAGGATTCTAGGAATAAAAAGAAGGTGCTTATTTGAAATTCTGAGACTGTTCAAAATGGGAAAGAGAAGGAGATAGGGAGACACAATGTTTTAGGATGTTTTTAGAAAGTTTTCTTGGTGGCTCTGCCAGAGAGAAGCTGACTGCGGGGAAGAGGGACCGTCTTGCTAGGTTCTCTGACTTTAATCTGCTACTCCTGAGGGTTCATCCTGTGATAAGGTATCATCCTCCTTCCCGACCTTCTAAATTCACATACTTTGCATTTAGCATCCTAAGAAGTGTACTTCCCCAAAAAGAAAATACAAAGTCACTTTGGCATGAAGTTTTATAGTTTAAGCCAGAAAATATCCCCCAGGGTGTGTGTAAAGCATAACTTCAGTGACCTCCTTTATGACACTTTAAATGTGTTTCATCTGAGATCTTCATGTCAGTCAGGCAACACCCAAGCATGCATTTTACTCTGCATAATTTAAAAGCTTTATTCTCCTCCACACACACACAATTAGCACACATTGCTTTTTCATCAGGGGAAGGGTTAGACTTCCCAGAGACACTCTGAGCTAATCACAGAAAGAGATCTGACCCAGCAGCTTCTGAAAGAGTCAGTGAGGTCAAGGAGTCCTTTCAGCTAAAGGCCTGGTCAGGTGGGGACAACATAGGCTACTACAGCCTGTCCATTGTGGGTGCTGGCAGGATCCTTCCTGCAAAAGTGACAAAATGCAGCCTCTTTGACCAGGAAGCCTGGAAGCCAGAAAATGCCCTCAGTCCAGGCCAAATTCCCTTCCTGAATCCCATGGCCTCATGCAAGAGCGTTTTAACCAAGCAAACAACTGTCTTCTGCTTTGAGTCCAATGTGTACTCTTCACCAATTGCAAGATTGCTCTTCACTCAAAAGTTCGCTGTTTACACAGTTTTTAGTTTGTGCGTCAGAGGGCTGGGCTCTGCCTCTCCTAGGAATGGCGGCATCATATCAATGGAAGCATGAAAACCCAGGCAAGCGCTGGCAGGCAGAGCGTGTGGGCACTGCTCCCAGACGTTCTCTGAGCATGCATTACGGCGAAGACCGCGTTAGTGTGGTTGGTGGGTAATTCCACATTGCAGATCATTCCTTCACAGCAGGACCTACACACCTGTTACCAAAGGAAGAGCAGAGGGAGATGAGAGAATGAATAGCAGAAAGAAGAGGGAAGGGTGAAACGAACAAACAACAAAACAAAACAAAAGCTTCTGGATCTCTAGCTGAGGACAGACAGAATGAGAGTTGGATAACCAGTCTATCAGCCACCCAGGCCCTTGGGTAGCCTTCCTTCTACTGACCTGAAAGTAAGGAACATCTGGGGAATCTTTTCTTAACCGTGTTTTATCTACACCAGCCCAAGCATAAGCAGGGGGAAGAAGAGGAAGGACAACTGAATAAGACTGTTTGATTGAGTCAACAAATCTTCTGAAGGCTTGTAAGGGAAAACACTGAAACAAAAATGAAAGCTAGAAACATCTTGGATTGCCCATTGATTTTCTTTCTCAGTACTCCTTGTTAGGGGATAATAATGCCCCTCTATTGTCTATAGAACGCCTGATTACTATCATTACAACAGCAATGACTTGCTAATTATGGTTGCTGAGCGATGAAAACTGCTTGCTCCCTGATAGCACAAGGTGTTTTCAGGGGAAGCCATCACCTGCCTTAATACCTGGTAAAATGCCTCAGCCTTATAATCCTCGCCATTCATAGAGGTTTCCAGGATGGCTAGGGAAGATAAAGACAGTGACTCTGAAGTATCTTTATCAGTGCTTTTAACGTAGGCTGCACATCAGAATCTCCTTGGAGAACTTAAAACAAAAACACATCCTGACGCCCAGGACCCCACCCTGAGGTTCTGTCTCAGTTGGCCTGGGATGGCCCCTCCCTCCACCACAAGCTCCCGGGAGACTCTCCCTGCAGCCAGAGCTAGAAGCCACTTTTCTGTACATACAGCAAGTCAAGTTCTAAAACCTCATGAAATTAACATACTCTCAAGTAATTTTTTCTCAAGCATTTTAGGGTTCCAGACATGCAAAAGAGTAAAATGCTCATTGAGGATGTTAGAATGAGAAGATGAAAGAGCTCCATTGATCTAAAACTGTATCTATAGTTCATCATATTAAACTGAGGTTAATCTTTCAGACTCTTGCTTCCTCATCTAAGCAGGGCTAGTGGGTGAGAAGGTGCCACCATTTTCCTCTTTCCACCTTCCAGCTGCCCTGTCCAGTCTTCTTGGTGATTTCTGGCCATAAGCAAAATAGGTGAGCTGAGCTCTGTAGCACGTGTCCTTCTCTCATGGATGGTTTATTCTTGGGCTTCTAGACAAGACTTCTGACAATTCACCCAAAGTCTAAGGTCTAGGGTCTAGCCCTGGAGTCTGGGAACTATCATTTGCTTTTAGTAACATGATTTTTTGTTGAAGAACAGAAAGTCTTCAACTTCTCTTAAGTCTCCATTGCATCACTGTATAAACAGGTTCAACATATTACTTATCCTTCCTGCCTCTCCATGACATATAACTAACCATCACTAGCTAGACACCTTAGGGCAGTAACGTCACACACACACACATGCACACTCACATGCACACGCACACGCACACTCCTTACTGTATGTTCAGAATCTCGGCTGTGGTGGCAGCCAACTGAGTGACATTCACTTCTGGAGGCACACTTTTTGGTGATGGATGTACTTCTTCCATGACTGGTAAAGTGATGAACTGTCAAACAGTACTGTGTGTCTAGGCAGGAGGAAAAGAAAAGACAACTTCATTTTTCACATTGCAAAAAAGACACTCAACAATCACTTCAGAAATGACTAAAATTCAGGATGATCCTCAGGTTTCTAGGCAAGAAATACAATAGCAGAGATCTCTAGAGTGGTATTTTTTAAAAGGCATTCACTTTTGGCCCAGACAGCATGGCTCAGTGGTTGAGTGTCAGCCTATGAACCAGGAGGTCACAATTTGATTCCCTGCCATGGCACATGTCTGAGTTGTGGGCTCAATCCCCAGTGTGGGGGGTACAGGAGGCAGCCGATCAATGGTTCTCTCATCACTGATATTTCTATCTCTCTCTCTCCCTCTTCCTTCTTCTCTGAAATTACATATATATATTCATTTTTAAGCACTCGTGCATTTTTAAAATGAATATGAAACAGGCACCTATCCTTTGGTGCCAGCTAAGACTCAGAAAAAACTGGACAAGCTTCTCATCAAAACCATAGGTTTGCCCATTTCATATGAAAGTGTCAGTATCTGTCTCTGCCTCATCTCTCTCTCTCTCTCTGAAGTACATGTTCTATGCCTAAAATAAAGTGGAAAATGTGAATTTAAAATGCAATGGATCAGAATACTCTGGTTGCATTATTCAACATTTGATACATTAATAGGCCATGTGGAATGAAAAGCAGGTGCTTCAAAGTACACATCAAGACCACCTTCCTTACTCAAAGTATTTCTATGTTCTCTTCTTCTTTAATTAACTGTTACTTTATCTGTCCCCTTCCCCCATTTTATAGCTAACCCATTTCTACATGGACCTATCCTTATAGCTTTAATCACTCACATCTTATTACTTTGGATTCTTTAAAGAGAATGATTTCACTCACTATCCCAGAACATTCGCTTTAGTTCTGTAACTCTTCTATAGTTACCTCAGGCCAGTAAAATGCTGTATTGTTTATTGAGAAGGGACTACAACAGCAGTCATAGAATGGGGGAAAAATATTTGACTAAAGTTGAGAATACTGGACCTATGAAATTGCCTTTGTCATAAGCAAGCAAGCCATGTTAGCACCTTTGAGGTAATTTTCTTTTTTTTAAATGTTTACTATTATTTTTAAAAAATATTGAGTTAACAATGGTTCTTAACATTATGTAAATTTCAGGTGTACAATATTATCATTTGACATCTGTATACTTCACTGTGTGCTCACCATGAAAAGTCTAGTTTCCTTCCGTTAGCATATATTTGAGCCCCTTTACCCAATTTGCCCTCCCACCTCCCCTCTAGTAACCACCCATCTGTTGTATCCATGACTTTATCTTTGTTTTGTTTTGCTAATTTGTTTGTTACTTTTTGGTTTTATATTCCATATATGAATAAAATCGTGTGTTTTTTGTTCTTTTCCATCTGATTTATTTCACTTCACACAATACCCTCAAGAAATATTGGCAATATTTCTATCTTTCTTATGGCTGAGTACTTTTCCATTGCATATATGCACCACTCTTCTTTAACCACTCGTCTGTCAGTGGGCACTTAGGTTGCTTTCATAGCTTGGCTATTGTAAATAATGCTGTAATGAACATGGAGGTGCATTTATCTTTACAAATTAGTGTTTTCATATTCTTCAGATAAGTACCCAGAAGAGGAATTGCTGGATCCTATGGTAGTTCTGGTCTTAATTTTTGAAAGAACATTGGATTTTTGTTGTTGTTGTTGAAATGTATGAGTTCTTTATATTTTTTTCTGTTCATCAGATTATTTATTCATTTGATTTTTAGTTTCACTTGTTGATAGATATGTATTTGTTTAATACTATCCCCTTATAGGAAATATCATTTGCAAATATCTTCTTCCATTTGGTTTGCTGCCTTTTTGTTTCGTTGATTGTTTCCTTTGTTGTGCAGAAACTTTTTAAGTTGATGTAGTCCCATTTGTTTATTATTGCTTTTGCTTTCTTTGCTTTTGGAGTAAAATATGCAAACACACCCATAAGACCGATGTCCAGAAACTTAGTTTTTCTTCTTTGTATTTTATTGCTTCATGTCTTGCAATCAAGTTTTTAATCCATTTTGAGTTAATTTTTGTGTATGGTTTAAGTTTCATTCGTTTGCATATGACTGTCTAGTTTTTCTAATACCATTTATTGAAGAGACTTTCCTTTCTCAATTGTATATCCTTTTCTCCTTTGTCACAAGTTATTTGCCCACATTTATATGGGTTTATTTCTGGGCTCTCAATTCTGTTTCATTGGTCTGTATGTCAGTTTTTCTGTCAGTACTATACTGTTCTGTTTTGATTACTACAGCTTTCTAGTACATTTTAAAATCCGGGAGTATGATACCTCTGGCTTTGTTCTTTTTTCTCAGAGTTGCTTTTGCTATCCAGGGTCTTTTGTGGTTCCACACAAATGTAAAGGTTTTTTTGGTTCTATTTCTGTGAAAATGCCATTGGGATTTCGATAGGGATTGCACTGAATATGTAAATTGCTTTAGGTTCATTTTCTTTTTAGTAAATTATGATAACAAGTGCCTTGGCATTTTGACAGGGTTGTTGTAAGATTTAATTAATAACAACAATAGTGAACACATATTGGGCGGGTACCACCAGCCAGATACTCTTCTTACATGTATTCACTCATTCAATCCTTGGAGTAAGTCTTAAGATAAGTCATATCAATATCCTCATGTTACAGATAAAATAAAATAAAAGCCTGAAGCACAGTTTCTTGTCCACAGTCACATAGGTAGAAAGTGGTGGGAGGTAGGATTCTAACCTAGGCAGTTTTCCAAGGTTTGTGCTCTTAACCAGACACATTCTGCCTCTCGGTATACTGAATGTCAAACTAGATGGTGCTGTAACATGCTCAACAAGAGTAGCTGACTTATGGTTTCAGAAGGAAAGGGAACCACCAAATGTTTTGGAAAGGCATTTCAACTTCACTCCAAACAAAGAATTGAAAACTGGTAGCTGCGTGTGTTCATATGAAATGTCACACATGTTAAAGCAGCCCTAGAAAGTCAGAAGAAAAGCCAGGGTAAATAAAATAAGAAATGTCATTCTTGTCATATCCTGTTACACAGAGAACCTCTCTTCACAACACCAACAGACCACAGAAGTAAAGCTGTGAGGTGAAAAGGAAACCTAAGATGACAAAGGACAATAGCTGCAGGCCTGATGGCCCCAAGAAATGGTTGACTATCATTTCCCTAAATAATGACAAACTGAAAAGTAAGAAATGATACCCTCACTTAGAATTCCAGATGGTTAGCATCTTGAGGCTTGACTGGCACAGTCACGAATGCACTGGCATGCATGCCGGAATGCAGGGTCATTCCCTGTCACCCTCCGGTTCCCAGGGTGGATGTGGAAGAGCCGACTGTCTTCCTGCTGCCAACACTGGTGTTTTCTTGGTGGTGGAAAGCAGCAGCTTCCCCCTTTTGTTCACATCTTTCAACAGATAAAACCCAGAAATACCCATGTTTGATCCCATTAAAATGGATTTGATTCATTAATGACAAATCGGACCATTATGCACAGACCTAGTAGGAACTGTTTTGGGGCAATTCAAAAGAAGAAAGAAAACAGTTTCCAATGAGTTAAGGCACAACAGGATGGACACTAATGCCCCAATTTACACTGTTCTAACCCGTAACGCCCAGTTTTCAGGAGGCTTTAAAGCAAAGAGTTAAAGAATAATACCACCCTCGGAAATAAGGTAGTGAAGAGAGGCACTGGGCATCCTCAAACACTCTGATAATTGAGATGAAGTTCTGCAAAACAATGTGGAAACAAGTCCCCAAATGAGTACACCCCGTGTGCACATGCACCCACAAACACACACAATTTAAGGTGGATTGCTCTACAGAAATGTAAAAGAACCCCAACAAAAAATATTTTGGTTATTGATTATTCTTGAAAAGAAATAATGAAAAATACTGCCTGAGTAGATGTCACAATCACTTGTGCTAATTTATGGCATAAGAGTCTCCAGCAGTGTTAAGGTCTTTAGTGTGTACTATTTATCTAGAAGAGGTAAGTCTATTTCACTGCTGCATATAATGTGATGCAGAAATTTCCAAAAGATTCAAGATAATAGTAGACCAAAACTAGTCATCTCTAATCCTGGAAGAGTTGTTTGTTTGTTTTTGTTGGCCTTTTACATCTGCAAACCTAAAAAAAATGACAAAAAAACAAAACATGGTACTTCTAAAATCTAAACAGTCTGATATCCTTATAGCTGTAAGTAGTTTCTCAATTCCCAATCATCCATCAGACATCCTGCCTGCTTTACCTCCACATTTGTATATATTAAATCCTTCAACCTCTTGCCCCCTCCACTCCTACCACCCTGGTTCAAGTCACCATCTTCTCCACCTGAAGATAATGAAAGACCCTACTTGGTGTCCCCTTCTACTCTTGTCCCAAACCATCCTTTCTCCACACAGCAAAGAGCAATATTTTAGAACACAACTAGCATCTTGTATTCCCTAGTTTAAAACCCCTCTACAAGCTTCCTATGATATTTATAATAAAATCTAAACTCTTTATTAGAAAAAGAAGGTCCTGTGTGTGTCCCAGTCCTTACCACCTCAACATTCTTCCACTAAGCCTCACTGGCCAGCCTTCTCCCTGTTCACTGAAGAGGCCAAATCTTGCCTCTTGTAGCCTTTGCATTTGCTGTTCCCTCTTATTACCATGCTATTCCCACAGATGTCTATGTATCTTGCTTGTTTTGGTCATTCAGGTCTTCTTTCAAATGTACACTCCTCGGAGAAGACTCCCTGACTATCTAATCAAAGGCATCCATTCATTCTGTCAACAAATACTTACTGAGTGCCTAATATGGGCCAGGCACTGGATTAAACTAAGGCTGTATCAGTGAACAAAACGAACTAACAATATAAAACTTTTGTCAAATGAACAAAAGACTTTCCCAAGCATCATTCTATCTCAAGAGTACAAAACCTTTCCTTTGCTTTAGCCCAGCGGTTCTCAATCTGTGGGTCGTGACCACTTTGGCAGTTGAACGACCCTTTCACAGGGGTTGCCTAAGACCATCCTGCATATCAGATATTTACATTACGATTCATACCAGTAGCAACATTACAGTTATGAAGTAGCAACGAAAATAATTTTATGGTTGGGTCACAGCGTGAGGAACTGTATCTAAAGGGCCAGAAGGTTGAGAACCACTGCTTTAGCCAGTAAGAATTACTTTTCTGGAGATATCATCAAGCATTTCTGAAATTCTTAGAATGCCTTAGTCAACATTGTAGTCTATTTTTTCTCCTGAGTAAATACTATTTAAGAAATCCTTTCTCAAGGAACACACAACTACAAATTGAGGCTACATCATCAGTTTCCAAGTGTTCTCAGAGTAGTCTAATGTCACAATGGTCTCTTAAGAGAAATCTCTAATTTCTATAGAACATCAACCTGTTGGCTTATCAAGAGACACCTAAATGAGATGTGATCCCAAAGGAGTCTCCCAAACTCAGCACACTTACTTTGTGGACACCACTTGTCTTCTGCCCATCGATTGCAGTTATAATTATCTCCTGCATTTTCACAGGTAAAACACTTGAAGCTGTTTGGAAATGGTGTAGCTTTAAAGAAAAATGCACAGTGAAAAGACATTTTTAACATCAAATATGGCAAAAAAATTAGCAACTTTTATAAGATTAGACAAAATTTACAAGCCATTATACTTAGAATTTCTGTTTCTAGGGAGCTAGACTTAACTGCCAAACTCTGGGGCTATTTCTTTAATTCCCTTTTCTTTAAATATTTCACCTATAAATATCTATTGAAGAGTAATAAAAATCATTCCACAAGCCACTTTGAAATATTCATGGTATTGTTCTATAATAATTTATAACTTGGGAATAATGAGGATTAAGGGGGTATGGGGATGGGTAAGGGTGAAGGCAGCATTGGAGCCAATAATTTGATATGGTTTCATTCCTGAAAAGAACTGGAGTCAGATTAACCTGAGCTTGAACTCTTCCCTTCCCACTAATTAGTTGCATCATTTTTAACTTCAAAGTAATAATATTATGCATAATAATAGTAACACTGAAGGTCCCCATGACTTGCAGAGGTATAGTGAAAATTGAACAGGCGGTGGCAAGAAAAATATCTAATGGAGTCCCCGGCACATCAAATTATGCTGGTTTCCATCCACATGTACTTCCGTTACAGCTGCATTTGACCGCAATCAAACAATCTCATTTGTATATGTCAATTATTGCATTAGACCTCAACTAGGAATGGAACATTTAATACAAGGATGATAGTAATTCTCAGACCCTATGTTCAGGCCAGGGTATTATGGAAAGAAGGAATTAGGAGCTGCTGGCAGTCTGGTTTGAGAGCAACTAGTATATTCATTTCTCTTTTTTGTCTTTATGCTTTTTTCCTATATTTTATCTTATTATTTTCATGGGCACAAAATAAAAAGTACAATAAATTTAACATTTTTCTATAAGCCAGTGTATAAAGCCCTGTGTGAAACTTTCACCCCAAACCATCCTAGTAACCTGACCACAGTTGGGATGATAATTAGAAAACAGCAGGTACTGAAGATACAGGAGAGGATAAATATTGATGCATAAAACAAGAGTGACATACCAAAGGTGACAGTTCAGAGGACATGAAATTAAGTATTACAAATACATTTCAGTTTTGCTTATGTATAAAAGTGAATTAGATAAGCAAAAAGGAAGTAATGAAATTCATTTTTGCCTATTAAAGCAGTACAGTTTTAAAATTACTCACACTTCAGTAACAAAAGGGAAAGGGTTAAGAAGTATAAATTGCTAGTTATAAAAAGGCACAGGGACGTAAAGTACAGCATAGGAAATATCCTATATAATAAAAGCCTAACATGCTAAGTGTCTGGTCATCTGTTCAACCAACCAATGCATAATCTGCTAATGATATGCTAAGGCCACACAACCGCTCGCTATGACATGCACTGGCCACCAGGAGGCAGATAGTCAACCAGTTGAACAGTCGCTATGACATGCACTAACCACTAGTGGGTAGACAGTCGATCAGTTGCTAAGATGTGCACTGACCACCAGAGGACAGACTATTCCATACAGTTTTAAATACAGCCTTGCATGTGGTCAGGCTGTATCAATGTTGACTGAGCGTAACTGCATAATGCTGAATTACAGAAAATCGTGTCTTCCAATAAGTAGGTATGGTATTAGATGGGTATGAGATTTTTCAGGATGATCACTTAATAAGTCTTATAATGTCTAACAGGTGAACACCTGAAACCAATATAATATTGTATGTCAACTGTAATAGAAATTTTTCTTAAAATCTAAAAACAAAATACTACTACTCTGGCCTGCACCCTCTCACAATCCGGGCTGAGGGGACCCCCACCCCATCCCGCCCAACTGCACGAATTTGGTGCACCCGGCCTCTAGTAGTCAGTAATATTCTAATAACTATGTATGGTGTCAGATGGGTATTAGACATATGGGGGGATCACTTCATAAGTTATATAAATGTCTAACCACTGAGCTATATACCTGAAACCAATATAATATTGTATGTCAACTGTAATAGAAATTTTTCTTAAAATCTAAAAACAAAATACTACTACTTAATGCTCGTGAATGAATGTCCTAAATAATAAAAAAAAGTCCAAAGTGGAAATCAATAATGACACAGGCTCTCTTTAGGAGTTGTGTAGACTGTGGTTCCCAAGCCTGGCTGTGTATATATAGTCTCAGGAGAGCTATTTTAAAAGAAGAGGGAGGGGGAAAAGAAAAGAAAAATATAATTTATAGCCCACCCTCCTGACTATTGAATCTCTGGAGAAGGGACCCAGGAATGTTTAGTTTTAAAGGCATTTATCATGATTCTGATACTCTTTCAGGTGTGGGAACCACAGGCATTCACATTTCTACCAACAAATTTTATCTATAACAACCTCTCTCTAATAAAGTATATCAGAGAAGTAGATATGTTTTACTTGTCTGAAGAGAGAGAAAGGAGGGGAGATGACATGTAGATACAAGCACATATGCACACACATATATGTATATAAAAATATAAATCATCATATAGATAAGATATGCTATTTGTTTATTTTTTAATTATTAGTGGGAAATCTGAGTTTTACAGACTTTCCTAACTGCGCATAATATTCATCAAAGTCCAAGTATATTTCCTCCAAATTTTACACATACTAATCTGTTTTCAAGATTGTTAATGGTCATTGAGCCCTGGCCAGGTGGCTGAGTTGGTTGGATCCTTGTCAGGTACAACAAAAGGTTGTGGGCTTGATCACCTAGTTGGGGCAGGTATGGGAGGCAACTAATCGCTGTTTCTCTCACACACTGATGTTTCTTTCTCTCTCTCTCCCCCTTCCTCTCTCTCCAAAAATCAATAAAATAAAAACATATCCTCAGGTGAGGATTAAAAAACAAATTGTTAATGGCCATTGATAGAATATATCGTTGGTGCAGAAACTTCCTCCAGCCAATATCCTCCTCCAGTGAAGAGAGGAACAAAGAACACTGAATTTCCTCTGCCATTCTTAGGCACAGTGCTCAAGAGATTATCTTAAACAAGAACCCTTTGAGACTTCAGCAGGTAGCCAAAGCATTTTAAAGAATGGAGAGAATGTCAGAAGCAGTGAAGACTTTCTGTCTTACTCTAGGTATTAAACCAAATGGTCTTGAAAAGGCAACAGGTCTATAGGTGGAAACAGGAACTTCAAATGAGCATTCTGGCCCCACAGACATGACCTACGATGGTAACCACTACTTACGGTCGAGAGGAGGCCTCACGTTATAGAAGTTGATGTTCTTGGCAAAGGCCCGGTTTTCTGAGAAGATAAAGATCTGGACAACTGCTACAACTAGAGCATGACAGAAGAGCAGCATTCTGACCTTGAGACTGGGCAAGTCCAAAATTCATATATCTACAATGAAAAGAGAGACTAGTTGAGTTTATATGCATTTCACATGTCAATAGGAGTATGTTTTGTTTCTCTTTGGAAAGCTTAATTATTCAAATATATTGAACCATCTACCTGTTCTGTAGGGCCAGTGCCTATGTGGGAACTGTATTCTTTCTGATCAGATGAAAGTTAAGCAATGGCTGCTTTCTACTGGTCAGGACTCTGCACTAGCCAGTTGAGTTTTAGCAGGACATCCAGTGGCCATTGGGGTTCCAGAAGAACAAGCAGCCAGTACTGGCCTGGCTGCACCCTGCCTCCCCATTCCCTCCCCACACCCCCACCTCCCACC